ACCACGAAGGGAGTTGTCCAGGGATCGAAATAAGTGGTGATCCGATGGCGCGAGATCGGGGCTATATGCTGGGTGTAACATCGATTCCCAAGCAATATCCATGAATTTTTGCCGAGTGGACAAAGACGCGCGCGGCCTAGCATTGTCCTGCTGAAAAATGACACCTTTACGATCGACCAATTCTGCTCGCTTTTCCTTGACCGCTGCATTCAATTTGTCCAGTTGCTAAAATTCACGGATAATAAAAAATAACATAATAATAATAATAATAATTTTATAATATAACATTTACAGATATCATAAGAATGGGAGCGAGAGACGTCTATAACTGAAATCGGCAGTTACTCAGTTGCCAACCCAATAGAAAAGTCTAGAAATCTAGAAATGCACGTGCACGTGTCCGTGTACGAGCTTTGCACAGGCAGGGAGCCCCACCGATGATGGATCTCTCTCTAGTTGTAAATACCGATCGATGATACGATCTATGTACTCGCCTTGATTTCTCGTTCGTATTGGACGCATTGCGTCACCGTCTATAGTCCGATAGTCTAGAATCCATTGCATTCGGAGCACCGAGGATTCACAGCATCGAAACGAACGCGAACGTCGCGAAACGATTCGACAAATTCGGATTCGAATTGCCAAGAAAATTCGGCAAAATGATTCGACGGAATACGACGCCGATCGCGTTTCTCGGTCTAGTCGATGCGGCCGCTTTGGACGACGCTCAACAATTACAATAAATTCTCTCCAATCGACGCTCAGATTCTACACAAAAATGGACAATGTTGGAAGAGGAGTTACTGTATAAACTAGATGCGGTTATTTTATAATTGTTGGCAAATCGATGACTATAAAAACGAGCCGCAAGTTCTCGAATACTCCTCCTCCCAAATTGTCCATCGCATGTGCACGATCCGAACATCAATTAGGGGGAAATTTACGGTAGGTGGTAGACGTTGTAAGGCGTTCAGCGCGTGCTACCTTTTCCGGTCGCCGTTCTCGTCCTCGGTAAAACTGCCTAAGTGGCCTCTACAAGAGAGGCGCGATTGCACCTGGTGCACCTAGATCCTCGGAGCGCGGCGCGTGCGCGGTTAAATGGGAACCGAAACAATCAACTCCATCGATCTGAATCTCGATCGATCCTGATTTATCAGAATTAAACGGGATCGTCGTTTCGTTTCGCTTCGTTTCGATTCCGATTCCGAACCGACTCGCGCCTCTCCCGAGCTTCTCGCATGTTTCGTCATCGATCGGCAAACGGCGAGCGCGAACCGCGAAGGTCGAATTTGCGCGTTTGTTATCGATGTTTCGGTTACGGCGAATGTCGTTCCTCGAGCTGCGTCGGTTCAAAGTCGTTCCGGGAAATTTCTGAAAGCGTTCGGCGAGCACGTACCGATTGATTCGTACGTGTTCACCGAGTCGCGTGAAGCACCAAGGACGCGCGCGCGCGTCCGTCGTTTTAGTTCGCGGCATGCTCGCTATTTCATTCCGCGATCGTCGCGATCGCCGCGATAAAAGCATAGTCCTCGTTGCGGTCGTGGCCGTGGTCGCGATCGAAGCTCGATGCTCGCCGCGGGAATCTAGTCCGCGAGCCAGAACCTACGGACGTCGTCGATAGGTCGAAACCGAACGGAGAGGAGGTTGCTTTGTGAAATCGTGAACCGGCGCAGGCTTGCCCAACGATCGGCGAATGAAAACGGCCACCCCGTTCGCACGAGCCCACGTTTTCTCGGCTTCGAATCGCGCCCCACGGTATGGACTCGGTCTCGGGCTCGGGCTCGGGCCCGGAACGGTTCGCGCCGTCGATTTCAGGTATAGCGGCCGTCGGCGTCGCTGCTAATGGTAACGGTAACGGTGGCGGTAATCGTGAGACGGTAATGCTAATGGTAATGGAGTAGTTGTGTTCTCGGCGGTCGCTAGGAAGGAAGGGAACATCGAAAAACGTCCTGTTTTGGCACGCGCCCGCATTCACGGACCGATGAGTCGCGGAGAACGGTTCCCGTTTCCGGCCTCCCGCGGCGGAACATTAGCCGTGGCGGCGAACTCGTCGCCGAGCCCGGTTCTTTTCTACCACCCGGGTTCGTACCGGATCGATCGCGTGTCGCGCTCTCGTACGCCGATTCGCGTCGAATCGAGGCGACCGGGAACCTCCGCGTTCCTCTTGCGGATCGAAAATACGGATCGGGACGTGACAATACGAGGCGAAACGGGACGAAACGTGACAAAACGAGACGGGACACGGGACAATGAAGGCGATGCCACGTATGTTCGCGCGCGCCTGCATATACAACAGCCCCTCTCCCTCTCCCCGCCGCACCGAAAGTATTGTGACACTTACAGGAAATTAGACAAGCGTGAAAATGCGACACGAAATCGTTATATTTTCAAACATTTTTCTTTTTTTCAAAGTTCGTTATATCGAACTGCAACAAGTACGTAAATATAGTTTACGTTGCGACGAAGATAACGTGAACTTTACGAAAGAAAATTGAATTTTCTTCTCGTCGATCGCGTTTTTCGATTACTTCTTGGACTAATATTCACGTCCGTTTTATGTTTATTCTCCGCGCATCTTGTAGCATGTTCGACGTATTAACCCTTTCAGTGACGAGCGAAAGTATCGTCGTACGTATGCGAAAAATACCGGGCCTAATTTGACGAATTTTGCCAAGGTTCGGAGAAATATTTTCAAAATTCCAAAAGAAGCGTATTGCGAAATAAAAGGAGGCTAAAGTGGCGCCAATTGTATTTAAATATTTGTTGAAAAAATTTAAATATTCTTTATTCATACGAATAACATAAATATAAAACAGTACGGAAAAGTCAGCTCTCTTTTTAGGAACAGTATTCGCATATAAGGAAAATCATCGTGTGTTCACAGCTTTATGTATTGGGTTGGCAACTGAGTAACTGCCGATTTCAGTTATAGACGTCTCTCGCTCCCATTCTTATGATATCCGTAATTGTTATATTATAAAATTATTATTATTATTATTATGTTATTTTTTATTATCCGTGAATGTTAGCAACTGGACAAATTGAATGCAGCGGTCAAGGAAAAGCGAGCAGAATTGGTCGATCGTAAAGGTGTGATTTTCCAGCAGGACAGTGCTAGACCGCACGCGTCTTTGTCCACTCGGCAAAAATTCATGGATATTGCTTGGGAATCGATGTTACACCCAGCATATAGCCCCGATCTCGCGCCATCGGATCACCACTTATTTCGATCCCTGGACAACTCCCTTCGTGGTGAAACTTTTAACGACGATGACGCTGTAAAATCTCACTGAACTCAGTTTTTGGCCGAAAAGGATCAGACTTTCTACGAGCGTGGAATTTTCATGTTGTCGGAGAGATGGCGAAAGGTCGTCGAACAAAATGGAAAATACATTACGGATTGAACTTCGTTCCAAGTAAAAAGAAATTTTTTATTTCATTGAACAAATCGGCGATTACTTAGTTGCCAACCCAATAGATCACTTAGTAATCGCATTTTCAATCATTTCCAACGAAATAACTGATATCGGACCACAAAACTAAAGAATAATGTCATGATTCACGGCAAGTAGTATAGCGTTACCGAAGAGAAATTTGAACATTATTATAAATATTTATATATAGTTGTTTGGCTATTGAAAATGTGTATCATTTATTTTTTATTTATTTATTTTATTTACTTTTTTTTAAGTATTGATAGCAAGGCGCCATCGCATACGCAACGATATATAGTAAATTCTCCCTAATTGACGCTCGGATTGTACACAAAAATGGAGAATCTGGGAAGAGGAGATACGATTATTCGAACCTTGCGGCTCGTTTTTATAGTCATCGATTGCCAACAACTATAAAATAACCGCACCTCCTCTTTCCATTTAAGCGCACAATCTGAGCGTCAATTAGGAAGAATTTACTGTTTCGTCGTTGGCACATTTCGCAAGTATTGCGATCGACGATATATCGGCGTTCGACGCTAAAAGGGTTAAGAGAACATATAAAGCATCGATGCGTGTTGCACAGAGCGAAGTGTATGAAATGTACCCCGGTGTCGATTTCGATGAAAACGAAATGCAATAAAATGCGTAAACTAATCGCACAAGCGCCAAACGCTTGCAACTTAATACGGTAAATTCTCCCCAATTGTCCTTCAGTTTGTAGACAAAAATGGACAATTTGGGAAGAGGAGATACGATTGTTCGAACCTTGCGGCTCGTTTTTATAGTCGTCGACAATCGGCGACCTTAAAAACTAGCCCGCGATGCTCGAACAATCGTAGCTCCTCCTCCCAAATTGTCCATTTTCATTTACAAGTCGAAGGGCAATTGGGGAGAACTTATACTGTATGTACCGTCGACAAAACGATGCTATGTTGCAGACTTGCAGACGTTATCTTTAAGCCGAGCGAAATGTTACAATTTATACGAACTAAGCACCTGCAAACACGTTCATTACAGTTGTCGCGTGCGCGCATTATTGTTTCAGTCCTTCGTTGTACCGTACGATGACCGGCGTCGGAACGATCATGGCTGGGAGCGGCGAAGGAACCGGAAGTGCTTTCTCGCTTCCGTACATGGCCGGCAGCCCCACGGAATTGACCGGATCGCCGCAGCAGCTTTGGAACATGCAAAGTAAGCCAGATTAGATCGCAGGGGCGCGATACGTTGGACTCGACGAATCGATCCGCGGCGCCGAGTTAACCTTTTAGATACGGCTGAATTCTGCGCGAGGCTATTCCTCTGGACGGCAGAGTCTAATATGTACTGTACAGAGTCTGATACTGTATATTCTGTGTCTGTATATACAGGATGTCTCAAGAATGTCTCGCATTCCGAAAGTGGCGGGTTCCTCGGGCCATTCGAAGCAACTTTTTCCTTTACAAAAATGTTCTCCGAGGCGCCGTTAACGAGTTATCGACGAAAAACGGTGACCAATGAGAGGCGAGCTCGGCTGGCCCGAGGCGATCGAGCCAACGAGCGGAACCGGGCTTCGCGCGCTGGTCGGCTGGGCCGCCTCGCGTCGGCCGTACTCGATTCTTATTGGTCGCTGTTTTTCGTCGATAACTCGTTAACGGTGCCTCGGAGAACATTTTTGTAAAGGAAGAAGTTGCTTCAAAAGATCCGAGGAACCCGCCGTTTCCGGATTGCGAGACATTTGTCGGACGCCCTGTGGACTGTTGTAAATCGATGCGAAGACAAAAGAAGTGTGAAACAATGCATACGAAGACGATTATTTGGTTC